CTGAACCTAAGTATTGCCAGCAGCTGCTAAGAAATGTGATATTTACTTTGCAGCTAAATTAACATTGTTGAGCAACCATGCAGCTAGTAAGCCATACATACTCTGTAAATATAATATAAAGTGGAAAATAAAAAAAAATCCCAAACTAGAATTTATTCTGCATTTAGGACAAAATGAAGAACTGCTGTACAAGAAATAATTTTAAATTTGAACAACAATGACAAATAGGAAGAGGCCTGTTTGTCTGAACTTCTTCAACGATAAAATGCTGCAAATAGGAAAGGCTTTTGCAACACAATGTCTTCATGTCAACCGCTTCTTGATCCTCAGAACTAAAATATTTCTTGGGTTGTTTCACTGATATTCTTAGTCACAGCTAAATATAAGACATTATTAAGAATTAATCTGATAACAAGAACACCTTTGGATGAGTTGGAAATGTGTGAATACCATAAAAACACCATTACTTATAATAAAGTCCTACAAATACTAAAAACTAGAATGTAGTTGTTTAATCTAAAAAGTTATCAGATGATTCTTCACATATTTTGAACATGTATACACCCAACAGTCAAAAACCAAGACTCTTTAGGAATTTCCCTCCCCCTAGTCTCACAATGGCACCTTTGACATCCAGAAATGAGATGCTTTGATAGTCTGGAGCAGTACCCACATTTAAAGGTACAGACAGAGATTTTGGATCTCTTGCAGAGTTTAAGGCTTGTATGTGAGCACAGTACGCTGATGGCTCTGTACTCCTCAGAACCTGCCTGGTTTACAGCCAAGGGTATTTATTAGGCCTAAATTGGAGAAATCTATTTCTCCTGGCTCCAGATTTGAAAAGTTTTGGACAAGTACTTTCGATGATGACTGAGAGATGCAAGTGTGTGTGAGACAATACAAAGGTAATAATTAATAACAACAACTCTCCTTCTAAATGTAGGGTAATTTGGATCCATGAAACAAGTTTTTCAAGGAGAATGACAAAAGTTACATACCTGTCAGTGTGTTTTATTGCCAGCTTAGCTCATTTTGATCACACACCTTTTCAGAAAACAAAAAATACTACTGACAGACAATTTTCTCAAATGCACGCAATAGGAAGTCACACAGTTATCTGCTGTAAACACAGCCATGAGGCACTATTAAAATTAGTTACTAGATTACTGAAAGTCTGCAAAATTATAAAATAAATGCTAATGGAAAGCATTAATAAAAATAATCTAATCCTAGATTATCGTGAGTGTAATATAATTTAGTTGTTTTCTTACTGGGACACACAACTTCCTTATCTGCAGACTACTAAGAAGCTAAGGGTTCACTTAGCTGACTTAGCAACTTTGTATTACATACAGTAACAGCAGCAGATACTTTAGAATCTTTATGTCACATATTGAAAAAAGTTGGGGAACTGTTTACCTGAGACCTAGATCTCTAAAAACAAATACATATGATGTTTTATACAGAGCAGTCCACATTGTCAAATCCCACATCTGTGCCTTCTCAGCTGCCAGGCAGACGTGACTAAAATTATGGTTCCTGCCTTTATCCCTATCTTATCTTAAGAATAAAAATACTGATAGATTATATGAACAATTACAACTTCAGAAAACAAAAGCTGAATGTAACTTAGCCAGAGGTCACATTTTTAGTACGCAAGTATAGCTATCACAAAATGACAGAAATTGTTCAGACAGTAAAACCTGAAAATACTTCCTAAACATATCCTAGAATCACAATGTTCTTTATTCTTGTATGAGTGGTCTTGCTGCTATTGCTAGATTTATTAAGTTTCATTAAATAGGTGTATCAAACAAACACATTAAAAGCCTTTTCAAGCGCAGAGTGTAAAAAAAGTTTCCCTGAAACTCAGATATACAACAGACACCCTTTCAAGAGTTACATCAGGAGTGACAGTACTGATGTGACACTAGTAAATACAAGTCACCTGGAGCTAGTTACATTACAATCACTGATACTGTACATGATGGTCTGTCTGATGGAGAGGGGATGTCTACTTAGAGACAGGTGATCCAATGGGCGAGGGGAGACTTGATGACACTTTCCCATCTTTTCCTGCCAGAAGTTCTCCTGTGCTTTGCTGCTTGAATAGGGAACACTGTGCAGTTGTTACTGTACGAACAGAATGCTGAAAGCCATCACAACACAGCACACAGCCACATAGGGGCTCTTCCGTTCACCTGAGAGGACGGGAAAAAAAACAAATCAAACAAAAATTCAGGCATGACTATACAGATGTAGGCTGCCCCTAACCTATCACTGTAATTATCCCATTGCATATGGAAACTAATATTCAACATTTCTAGCCGGAGTAATGCTATTGCTACTATAGTTATGTACGGAGAAAGAGCATGCATGGGAGTGGGAAAACTAAGATGTAGGATGGGATATATTGCTACATAGACAGAGTTTAAGCAAAGGTCAATGCAAGGACTTCTATCTTACTATCAACCACCTTTTCTGAAGTGCATTTTTCAGGAAAACGTCTGTCTGTCTGTCTGTCTATCTATCCATCTATCTAAGTTGCTGCTATGTGCCAAAGAGAGTCTGAAGGCAGGCACAGAAAAGCTGATCAAGACACCAAATCCTTTGCTGATGGTTCTGGCTAAGGGCTATTGCTGCTCAAAAGCTGCTTCGTGTCAGCTGAGGAGAGGCATCCCTCCATGCTGTCTGGCCACGACAGCTACTATATGCAGCGTGCATCTTTTATGCGTGGTATCACGTAGGAGCCAGTTAACTGCCTGAGGAGCTTACAGCAGCACAGACATGGCCAGATGCCTGTTTTTTTTTCTTTGCTAGAGAGGCATAACATTGTGAGCATGTGGAGAGGGTCTGGTCCACAGATTTTCAAGTTAGTGATAAAAACAGCTGACAGATTACAGAAGTTACACAGACACCTCTATTTCTGACTCTTTCAAATTAGTGTTACAGGTTTCCAGGGCAGACCATGGATGAAAGTTAAGTTTACTCCATTAACAGACTTATATTTGGTGGCAAAGGCAATTGAGAAAGATCTATTCCCACCCTTCCGGCTCAGAACAAAATGCAGGGGTCTCTTTTTCACCAAGTAAGCTATGAAAACAATCAATCTTAGATGAGGAACTCAACACAATCAGACTATCTGTAATGTTAATCAGACTGCTACTTATTTACATGAGCACTCCCTCCATTTAATTTTAATTTAATCAGGTGTTTTTACCCTTTCACTTAAGCATTACTCCTCATGAATCCACTGACTTCTCTCTGGAAGGGAGGGTCCTCTACACTGGATGATACTTCCAGTCTACAAACTGTCAGGAAGTGCCAACACACATAAAAATGACTTTTAAAAGATTACTTCTTTCAAGCATTCAGAGCCATAAAGACAGGGCTGGAGCTGTTTACTTTAAACAAAGTTCAACTTCCTTTTGCTGTGCGACATCTTTTCTCTTACTACAAACTATCTTTTCTGAGATCCAGTTTTCAGAGAAACACTGAAGAACAAAAATTGCCAAAGCTCCCAAGTCTAACATAAAGGTGTAATCCTCAGAAAAAAAAGTCTCTTTTACCAGCAGGACCTCCAAATATAGGAGGGACAAATTTTCCACAGCAAAAGGAAAATAAAATACTTGTAGTGACACCTCCCATAAGCAGGAGTGCTTGCCACAGTGACATTATCAGATGTTGTCATGATCTGGCATATATTTAATTAAACTTCAAATAACCAAATGAACTAATGTCTGCAGTTTCACATCTGTTTAAAACAAATTTTTGAGGAAGTCCACCTCCTACAGTTTAGCGTATTACAATTTTCATATGGGTTATACTCTTCTGCTCCTAATTTTCTTAAAAGAAAAATCACCATGTGGCAAGATTAAACAATTTTGCACAACTTTGTAAATACATAACCACTTGCTGCTTATTAAAATCTTACGTGCATGTGAAAAGGTTGTTTAAACATACTGGGCAAGTTAAATGTAAAGGAAGCCAGCAGGCATTTTCATTTGTAAAAGCCTACACTTTCTATATGCATTTGTGATTAATACAAATAAAATCATAGGAATCATCTTCAAAGCCCATTTCCTATACTTAGGATATGGAAATATTATGCAAGGAAATGTACAGAAGCAATGTTAAGATGCTACCTCCTCATCCGTCAGTCTAAAAGAAAGTCAAATTGGACCACGTGAGATGTAAATTGAAAAGAAATTAGCGTTTTACATGTAAAAGAGAAAATTAAGCAGTTCATTATGGGGCACAAGAGTGCATGCATTACCTTGGATGCAGCAAATGCAAACGTTAATGTTACTACATGAAGGAAAAGCAAAATATTCCAGATGACTGCAGTTTTTAACTTTATCAAGTTGGCAGGAACCTCATAAAATCTCTTGTGTACTCTTTAAAATTGTTTCTAAAACTGTTTGCTATGCATAGCTAGTAGAAAAAAAAATACGCTTGCACTTAACTAAGAAGAAGATGGTAAGGTAAGGTGTTCTCTTTTACCTTGAACAAACCTTAATGCAAACTCTTTTACATTTGCTTTTACAAGTATAGCTCAAAATTAATTTCTGACAGCTGTCACCTTGCCAATATCTTTCAATTATAATACTAAAATTGGCTCTGTTATGTCTATTATCTAAATAGGACAATACCCGCAATCATTTTAACAACAGGTCTTCACGAAAACCTATTTTTTGCGTCAATGCTTTTTGACATATTGAAAGATGTATGCCATGTCCCTTTCAAAGTCTGAGAATGCAGAAAAGGGAACCACACATTTTTCCTTTAGCTTCAATGACAAGTAGGAAGATCTAGAATTACAACTGCAATATTTGTCCTATGCATTATCAATGCAATTTGAAGAACACTGTTTTTAAGATGGATTTGTAATTTTTAAAAAGTCTCAGATATACCTTAATACTAAGACTGAACAATGGTTGCATATTCCCATTTACTTCTCAAAATTATTCACAATAAGGATTAAAATAAACATAAACATCAATGTTATGGGAAAATGTCTACAACCAGATAGATGCCACTTGACACCAAAAGCTTTGCCTAATTAAAAAATGCACAGAAGCCAACTAAAGAAAGGAGAGAAAAAAGACATTTGTGATTAAACAGAACCTTACTGCATTATGAATTCCATGTTGTTTTATTACTATAAGGTAAATACCTGGCTTTTGTCAGTAGTTCATTGGAACTTCAAATTGACAGCACTTTATAAGGAATCACTGATTTCTTTGTATATTAATAAGAAATAAGCCCTTGGGTATTTCACATAGTAAATAGTGCAGAAGATTTTTGCAACTATAACACCATATATATGAACGAACATTAAAAAATGCAGGCTTCCATGATGCCAAACGAGACAGTCATACCCCACTCCCCCCTACCCTCGCTATATTTCATGGAGCTAAACCCTGCATTTTTTAAGGTGACGTATGACTACAGGTTTCACTTCTACATGGAAACGTTATCCTAATAAATAATGCATAGTCTAGAAAAAGCAACGGTCTTAAAGATTTCAAAGTAAAAGAATTACCAATCCTGGCGCATTTCCAGAATATTCCCAATAGTCTGTAAAGATTAAAAAAAATCATTAGACTCTTGGTTTAATAAAATTATTTAAGTAACTGATTTTCTTTCTTCTATGCTAAAATAATCCAAATAAACCATAGTTTGTAAACTTGACACTCTTCTTGATGTCAGAAAACACCAGATACCTGCACAGAGGGGTACAGGCAAACAAAACAAATTGCAAAGTTCTAAGTCTAGCAAGGATTTTTGAATGCAAGAAAAACAAAGATGCATGTATTCAGTCTGTGTTCCAAATCTAAAGATTTCAGCAGAATTCTACATTCTACATTAAAGTACCCCAGACAGAAAATGATGTAAAGAAAATAAATGTAACTAAGAAACTACTGGAATAGGAAATACCAACAGGCCTCCACGTCATTAGATATGGGAAACTTTTTATGTTAAGACTCTGAAGCAAGTTTTCCTGCAGGTATGAGAGATGATAAACCCGAGTACTTTAAATTTCATGCTTTGTAGTCTCTCTTTTGTATTTCCCTTAACAATACTACATAGAAATGCCTTGTCTTGCAGAGCACACACATAGGTTTAATCTGATACAGAATACTTGCATTGAAATAAATAACAGAACAATTCTTCAGGTTTGTTTTCACTCTTTTACCAAGGTTTACCTTGCTCACATCTCTCTGATGCTGCTTGTCCAGGATACTAATTCTCACAGGTAAAACAACAAAGGAGAAAAGCAGGATTCAACTATTCAGAGTACACACAACGCTATGGACAAGCACGTATGCCACAAGTTTATAATTCTATGTGTAACAGACTGCTTAAGAGGAACAAGAGCAGGGATTGCATTGGAATCTGAGGAGGAAGAGGGGAAGAAATACTGAAGCATCTTGAACAAGAAGTAAGCTTTTAGCCTTTCAAATGTTGGTCAAAACTGTGTTGAAAGCGTGCCAACAGGAAGGTTTCCTTCATAGTATGACTGGCTGCAATGCAGTAAAAACATCTGGATTTGACTATATTGTCTATAATATAAATTTATGGACTAAAAAAACCCTAATTATTTTTCCTCTTTCTCCTGATGTGTTTATCAGCAGTAACTTCAGTCTACATTATTTGTAGGGTTGTATCTACTACCTGCTGTGATGGCAGTTCTCCAAGTGCTTGCCCACAGTGCTCTAAACCGATACCCACAATGGTTTTATTATCTGCCTTCCTCCTTTCTTGGGCTCTAGCAATTGCTTATTTTTTTCTACTTAAATGCGGACAGGTAGTTTTGGGCCACTTGCTCCTGCATGCTTCAGCACTCAACATATCCTGCACTTTTTGAAAAAAGAATTTCTGTGTTGCTTCATACTATATGGCTTCATTTATGATCTTAGCTTACTTCAGCATCTCTCTCTCTTCTCATTTTGCCTCCTCTTTATTCCTGAAATAAAAGTCTGGTTTTGGGCAGGTGAGAACCAAGCGTTTCAAGAGGGAGCAAGTGACTGAGGTTTTCAAAGTCAAAAAGAAATGCCTTTTGACCAATGTACCTCTTGCTGACCAATTTATTGTGAACAGCATTCCAGCATTTTCATTTTTAGAAAATAGGTTTTTTCATTTGTGCTTTAGATCATTTTACCTCAAGCCAAAAGTATTTCTGTGTAGTCAAAGTTGTTTTTTTTTCTGCTTTTATATAGCTCCACAAGCAGAAGTAATAATCCTTGCATGTTGACCACCACACTTTTCCAGGCTAAAAGGTCATACCGTAAAATTAGCTGAAGACACCTATGCACCTTTTTGGAGGTAGTATTGTGTGGATGGCGCTTAAGACTCTCAAAGCTGTTGCTATGATGTGTAAAATTAAGATTTACAGATTGCATGCTACAAAATCAACACAAAAACTTCCACAGTTCAGCATCTTATGTTGCCATCTCTCAAAAACTTGCCTGGACAAATAAAATTGCCTCAGGGAAATAAAACATTACTGTCCTTTTCATAAGCATACTTGAAGAATCTTACCTGGGAAAAAGAATATTAATTCCTTCACGCCATCTATAGATCTGCTTAATTTGCCTCACAATCTCAGCAAGGGTATTTCTTTGCCTTCTCAGGGTTTTTTCAACTGTGTGTAACAATGTAAAGTTACAACTGAAGTACTGTACATTATTCCTAACCCTAAAAACTCGCTTCTTGGTGAAAATACAAACTTTCCTCTCTGATGTGGGAGAAATAGTTAGAATACAGGTTTCATCAGATACCCTTTCTGCAGTAACAATTTATGAGCCTAAAAGTCACCACTGACGCGAGGACTGACAAGCCTTCCAACAGATGACACCAGTACCTTTTTAAGAGGCTTGCGCTGCTATTGGAACAGCTCAGTACATTTGTTTGTCCACATAGTTTGCTGCTGAGCAAAAGCAAATTGAAATCTGGACCTTCTAAACAGCTATAATCACAGCCTCTGGATCAACTGGGGAGCTCACCTTGGAAGAAAAGCCTGTACAGGCGTTCTGCTCTCCTGAATTTTTCCATTACTGTTTATCTCTGGCCCACAACATGCATCTCTTCAGTCAAAACCTGTTTTCTTATTAGTGAAATGATGCTGCCTTGGATGAATCTGCTCCAAAACAACTCCTCCTGAAGCATTGCTAAAGTATTTGCAGTGCTTCTTACTCTCTCCTCATGTTCATCCTCATCCTTGTTTTCATGCAGGTGGAATGTGTCAGTCTGGCTCACATAACTGCCATTTTCTTGCAGTCACCAGTCAAATATGGCAAAGGCATATGCCTGCCTTTCAGTGTTAATGTTAAAAGCACTGATTATGAAAGTGGTGTTTGTTATCTGGAGAACAAAAAGTAAAAAAAAAAGGAACCCAGCAAGACAAGAAAGGGTTAGTGGGGCTGCTAGGTGAGGCATGCTGCAAAACGCAGCTGCCATGCATTTACCAGGACAACACCTCTGCCACTGCAGCAGGGAGTGTGAGAGACAATCCACTGCAATGCTCATGACAAACCAAAGGAAATCTCTGCTGCACGTAAATTAACACATCTTTCTGGTTAGCAGGGAGGAGAGAATTATGTTGTGGTATGCATTCTCCTCTAGTTAGCATTAAACAGTAAATCTCCACTTGTGTTCCCAACCTTAAATGCTATTGCTGAGGACAAAGCACATGGAAATACTCAAGTCACATCAGGGAAAATGAAGGTTTAAAATGGTTTGGCTTGGTAGGAAAAGACATATTTTGGCAGAAGTCAATGGCATGAAATACAGTGTTGTGAGGATGGGTGACATCACTTTGCAATACAGTCTCTCTCAACCGACAGAAACATGTTTCTTTACTTACTATCAACAGATTTAAATCTTTACCAAAGTTACCACTCAGAAATACCGTCAAAAACTATCAACAAGTCTTCTGTCACTTTAATATTTGATTGCTACTTTTTTATGCTATTAATTTGGAGCAAGAATAATGAAGTAAGATAATCTCTGTGGTAAAATGAAATATCGCTAGAATTTGTTTTATCCAGTATGTCTAGACACTTCCATTTGAGCATAGAATATGTCAGTGAAGAGGGACAGGATTTTAGCAGCATGAGCTCCATGTAAACATCTACCATTCAGGAAACAAATTTCATTGCTCCCAGGCCAGTCTTTTATTCTCCAGTACAAAGCAGTACACATAGATATATATGTAAAACAAAAATAAAATAGTATGTCCAACATCTATATAAATACAAACCTACAGATCAAACGCCCAACTCTTCCACTGTGTCAGCACCCTTTGAAAACATTTTATGAAGAGAGTCCTATTGTGCTCCAGACAGATTTGCCTCAAGAATAAACAGAGTAGCTCCAGATTAAAGGAAATATTCCTTGCCAAGAACAGCACTAAAATTTTAATCAGTAAAATAAATATTCTTACCTCTTACTGTGTGTACCTCATTGACTATTGTGTTATCTTTCACTAGCAGATGCCCAAATTCCCCTTGCCCCCCCCTGCCCAATCCTTCATGAAGTCATCCTTTCTTTCCTTCACTACTTTTATCAGAAGAAATCTCTCATGTCAGTGGCAACCTCACAATCCCATATGAAAGGACACAAGCATCTTCATGTTAGAACTTCAAATACGAAATAAAAGAGACAGCATACTCTGGGTATCTTACATGGCTAAAAGAAAACTTGTTTGATAAAACAGCAATTTCAGAAGTTAACTACAACAAAGGTGTTCAGAAGACAAACTCTCAAAGTTCTGAGTGACAAGAGTCTACTTAAAACTTGACACTTTTTCTGAAAATTAAATGCAGAAGGGAAAAAAATTTTCTTCAACAGAAAATGATGTAATGGAAAAACTGGACAAGTTAAACACCCAGTGCCCAAAAGCCTGTCTGTTTTTTCCAGATAGAACATTACCAGCAAGAATTACCTCCTACTTCTAGAAACATTATCTCCTTCACATTAACCTTAGATGACAGTATTACTGAAATACTACGGACAGCCTGAGTGTTTTCTAGGTGAAAATTGCCCAATCGTTCCTTTAAAACCACTGCATTTAAATCACAGTTCTGCATACTGCTGATTGCACCCCACATCAAGTCGTATTCTTTGTAGCACAAAGAAAACTGGTGAGCCAGAAGGTGAATGGGTATTAACTGCATAAGTGAGGCACAGATTTGGCTCTGTGGCTGTCCACATTCCCACCACTCCAAAAACTGCGCTGTTGAGTAGGGTAGCGATAAGCTGTTTTGCAGCAGTATTGGCCCTGCAACATTAAGCACATTAACTAATTATTTTAGTTACAAACTATTGTTGAAGCTGTGCTTCAGACTCATACTTCCAAAACACCTATTTTGAAAATAAACAGAAAGACTCCTGCTGTTAATGTCTTTTTATCCAGCCTTAAGAATACAAAATCAATTATTACAGCAATAGCTGCATGTAGAAAAATGTTCTCTTTCTGCCATTCATGTCTGTATCTTTAATAAGCATCTAATGAGAAAGTTGCAAGCCTAGAAAAAAATAAAGCAGTATTAGCTGGCTTTGTTAGTTAACAAATTCTTACTAAAAAATTGCAACAGTATTTGCAAATACACTATTGCCTTCTATTGTAAGGTATAAAATGAAGATTTTTCTCTTTAAAGAAGAAATTTTTCGAAATAGGATTTGTGTTATATCATTAGAAGATACTAAGAGTAAAACATTGTAGCTAAAACAAAACAGCTTGCATATTTTTAAAATGATCAGACTACATACCCAGTTTTATTTTTGTCCAGTAAGCTGGGAGCCAAGGATCTGATATAGGCACAGGTACATATGAGCAGCAAGATTACCGTCAGGAGACTCTGAAAGTTGAAGATGGCAGACTACGGAAGAAAATCAGAAAAGAAAAATTACAATCCTGTAGCACAAAACTTCCCACATTGCATACGCTGGAGAAAATAAACAATCCCCTAGACAATAACCATTAAAATAAAAAAATGAAACCTGCAATGCCAGTGAGACAGAAACTCTTTTAACAGCCCGTTACACACAATGGTGGAAGAATGGATGGAGCCAGGCTCTTCTCGGTGACAAACAATGATAAGACAAGGGGTAACGGACACAAGCTGGAACACAGGAGGTTCCACTTAAATTTGAGAAGAAACTTCTTCTCAGTGAGGGTAACAGAGCCCTGGAACAGACTGCCCAGAGAGGTTGTGGAGTCTCCTTCTCTGGAGACGTTCAAAACCCACCTGGACGCCTTCCTGTGTAACCTCATCTAGGTGTTCCTGCTCCAGCAGGGGGATTGGACTGGATGATCTTTTGAGGTCCCTTCCAATCCCTAACGTTCTGTGATTCTGTGATTCTGTAATGAGTTTTTTCCTTCTCAGTCCATCCCAAGAAGGATAAAGAAATAGCAAGCAAAATGGTAACCATGCAGTTTTGCTCCCAGGCACCTGCTTCAAAGCCAGTCTGTGGAAACCCATTAGCAGCAAGCTAAGAGTTACAGAAAACAGATGTTCCCTCTCAGCCAAGACTAAGTGGAACTGCGGTTTGCATCAATAGAATACTATGGTGGCTTGAAGGTGGAGGTGAAGAGTATTTGACAACTAAACTACTGTCAGCCAAGATAAAGAATAACTGCTGTGAATATACTGCTTTATGAACACTACACTCAAAATTAAATGGATTTGTAGAAATATGTATTAAATGCACCTGAACTACAAAAATGGCTACAGTACCCACTTGTCTGCTAAAGTATCAGTAAAATGTCACAAGTGCATCTCACAAATATTTTTATTAACGAAAGTCTGAGTCCTGTGTTGCCAACATGTACTTTAATCATCATCGTACAAGCAACTGTCATTGCTTATGTGAAGCAATCTTTTCCAGAAATATAAACATTATAGCTGCAGTGAAGGTACTCGTGTAAGGACTGCTGTAACTCCATAACAAAATCTGGAAGAAAGATGGCTGATGCCGATTTCCAGCAAGTGCCACATCACCACTCCAATAAACAATGTATTAGCAACATTTTTTTTGCCAACAGCTTCACTGGAATTTTTAGTAGAAATATTTGCCTACTAGTCATTGAGATTTGTAGCTTCTAATAATTAGTCCCAAATCTGAGACTGAGATTCTTCTTACAATGTGAAAATAATCCAGCTGCGTGAATCACCAAGCTGCAGTTTTATTGTTTCAGCTTGTTTCAAATGATGCTTTGGTCAACTTAACAGCACCAGGTAGTACAGCAGGCAACTGCTTACTTCAAAAAGCCTTATTTTCTCTTTGCTCAGCTACTCTCATTTGCAAATCCTATTTAATCTGAACTGAAAAAAAAGGCAAAACAAATATAAGAAATTCACTTTTCATTCTGGAGTTCAACAAACTTACATCTAAATATCTTGTATTTTTTGCAGTGCTCAACACAGAAGGCTGAGTATTAGCATTTAACTACGTACAAATATTTAGCACTTATGAAGGGTTATTACATTGCAGTTTCCTTCATCAAGCAAAACTCACTGCAACTTCAGAGCATATCAGAGCTCTCATTTCTATAGCCTGAGGCACATCTCTGTTGTTCTATGTGAACTTCTTCCTACATCACAAAATTCTAACATTTTGAAGCTCTGATAACCAAATTTCTCTAAGCAGTTAAGGAGAATTATAAAAGAAAACCACAGTATTTCAGTTCAGTATGGCACTAACAGGAAATTAAGAGAAAAATGAGAAGCTCTAGTAGAAGCAAAGCCATTGGAACATCCATGACTGTTCCAATACTGAGATCTAAGATCTTGTAATAAAAAAAACCCCAGAATAACCTTAGCTTACATAGAAGTCTACATGAATCATATCAAGCAATACTGGAACATGCATACAGTTGTCAGCCTGAACACATGCATTAGACACAAACTTATTTAAGTGTCTATTTTAACAGGGTCCAACAGGCCGCCCATGGGTGGAGAGCTACCCATTCAGAAGCACTGCTTAAGTGCTTCTTAGGGGCTTAAGGACGAAGTGAACAGCTCAGCCTGGGCAGCCTGTGTGAGAGATTTCAGCATCCTCACCGGCATGTCCACAAAGGCAGCATTAGCCATTGTGAGCGGGTGTGCTATTCTCCCCTTTACTTCTGCTTGAAAAAGTCCTTTCTCATGGCCATTCTTCTGCAGGAGCAAAATTTCCAAGCCAGCTCTCTCACTCCTCAGGCATTATTTATGGCAATAGCCTTATAAAAAGGGGAACAGTGAAAATGTCATTATTAGGATGCTGAGAGAAGGTAGACAGTGGAGAAAAGTAAAGAGCAAATGGAAACTACATGCAGCAGCTGACAGGCAGGAAGGTTTCTGCAATGAGTGGGAACATAGAGATGGGACATCACACAAGTGGAGCGGTGACCCAACACCCAAAGCCAGCCCTCAGGTCCTCAAGGTGAGGCTACCTGTTTTTCTCCTGAGCATATGCTAAATCATGTTTAGTTTAGTATTTGAGCTTAGCTAGCTGAGTCATCATTTCTGTTCTACTGTGTCGTAAAAGCATGGACAGATTATTCACAAAGGACAAAACTCTGCCCATCATTATCAGTAGACTCTTGCCTCTGCACGAGGCACAAGCTTTAGCCAACTTTGGAAACCAGGAAACTCTCAATTCCCCCTCAGAGACAACTCTTACCACCTACGAGAGGCAGTGTCTCCTGGATCCTGTGGGTCTAGGAATGCAATGGGGCCGGATCCAGGAGTGGCTGCCTCTCAGCAAAGCCAGATACTCCCTATCAACTGATTAATTTGATCAGTCCTCCGGGAGGGACAGCTGCTCTCCACATCTCATAGTGCAGTGCCTGCCACAGTTCAGTTCCCATGAATTCCTGCAAGCTTTCTCCTGCAGCTGCTTCCCAAGGAAGCTGGTGGTATCGGGTACTTCAACACACAAAAATTGCAGAAGGGCACACTTGCTTCCTCTTAAGCAGGGACTGTAAATGTATACTCATGAAATATGTTATCAGTCAGTCCACAGGGGCAGTATATAATTGTGCTTTGTTGGGCTCTTCACTTGTTTCTCCACGTATGCAAAGTAGGGCATCATTGTAATTACAGATGCCATTCCAGTGAAAAGTGCTCCAACTTACATATTTATCTATATAGTCAACTTTAAAAGGACATGCATGCATATTTAGAAAATGTTTACAATTTAGAACTAGAAATTACAATTTATTTCTTAAATGTCTTCACATTTCACACCTGAAGTAATTCTTATGACCCAGCTGAATTTAAAGAAAAGGGCGATTTACATCCAGATGCCTGAACTGATGTAATTAAAAGCTGCTACAAGAGTCCTGTATTACTCGGAATCCTTTTAAAAAATACTACATTCACATACCAAACTATTTAGGAAATGTTGTAATGTAGGTGGGTTGCAGTTCAATCCGGTTAAATGAGGTTCCTCTGATCCAAAAGTAATTAACTGGAATTTTTCAGATGTGTTGACTGTTTTAATGTAGATCCTGTGAGCCTCATTCCTATTACAAAGCAATTTCAGCACATGGAGAAACTTTTAGCCTGTGTCCACATGCTGGTGAAAAGAAAGTAACTTCCTCAAGACTTAGATGGCAAATGCAGAACAGAATCAGCACTAGTATTTATACTTGTTTTAGACAGTGCAAGTTGTGGCTTTAATTATATGTGCTGAGGTCTTCTACATCTGCATTTCGCACATTTCTGACAGGGTGGAAACACCTTAGTAGTTACTCTGTGTAACTTAAGCAATTACAGTTATTCTCTCTCTTCCTCTCCTCTGTGCTGTCTCCAGGTATTTGTGGAGCACTACCGCATCACCTGCAGCGCTATGAAGATAGTGCATTCAGAACAACATGCGAGAGCAAGTTTTTTCATAAGTCTTTAGAAGTTTAAGATCATGGATTTTAACTTTCAGAGCTACATGCCTAAAGGCTCATTTAAAATCCTTCCCAAAATTAGACCTTAAAAAATGCCTCAATATTATTTCCCTAGTCATAACATATCCTAGTAAAAATAATTCCATATAATACACCATGCAAACATATGGTAGAAGAAGCTAGAGACATCTGAATGTATTCCCATTCTGAATGTGTGTAGCTGGCAGCTCAGAGGATACTGGGGCGAAACAAGGGGTTACAAGGAAAGAAACGTTCTCCAGTTGCCTCTGGAAGACGCCATTGGTGAGTCGGCTACAACACAGGAGCAGGAGATGATGTGACAGTTCTTATTTTTGGGGGCAAGAAGGAAGGAGAAGCTTGTGGATGGAGTATGTGGTAATTAAGTGCTTAATATACTTTATAAAGTGTTGATTTAGAGTGAAAGATTTCCTGTGTGGCTGAGAAAGGGAACCCTGATGAGCCATAACATTTGCACGACTCCTGTCAACTTGATTATAGACAATGTTGTTGCTCCTGCAATTTAGCCAGCATTAAATTTACTACACTTGAGGGGAAAAAAAAAAAAAGAGGCAGCTCAGGATTCTGGTTATCAACAACTGTTGCACTTTATAAGAGCACTTAATTCAATGTGCTGAAAGGAAGGGTGCACACTCAGATGATTGCTGAATTTTTTAGTGATCACTGGGAAATGGGGCTTGGATGAGGGAATTGAGTGTACTATCA